TTTCCGTATTGTTTTATGATGTAATTCCGAACTGAAAAGTAAAAGATTATTTTTATGACGTGCGTCCGTGCGATAATCATGGTTCACATTGCTTAACCACACGTTTACTTTAATATTTGATTTGATCAACTGTTTAGTATTAAAATATACCATCGGGTTTCGCATATAATTATATTAAACACTGTTTTTTTCCTCATCCGATGATGGAAAAATCAATTGTATCACTTGTGAATATATATTTTATCAAAAAACGTAATTTTGGAATAATTTATGCACTTCAAATTAGCCCATTTTGATCGTCCCTACACAGTTTTTGACATTTCAAAATCTCTGAACCACCAAAAGTTACCAGAAATATCGCAGAAAAACTATTAGAAAACCCCACGAAATCAACATCAATTTTTAAATAATTATAACTTTATTTTGTTCGTTATTAGAGTGAAAAATTATATATATATATATATATATATGTATATTAAAGTGGTCCTTATTTTTTAACTTTCAAAATCTCGAGCCAGGTATTATTCATTATAATCAGTAAGTAATTGACATTAAATTTGGTCATGATGACTCACTCCCTTCCCGTGCCTCAAGAAAGTTGAAAATTTGTCATAGAGGGTAGTTTTGTAGTTTTGTGAATTTAACTCAAAAACTATAGTACTTGGCGAAAAAATGTATAGAAGGTTAATTATATATTTTAATGTTGCTCATAAAATATATATTTGAAAAATTTGTCGTAAGTCTGTAATTTTCCAAGAAAAATAGTAAAATACGAAATATTTTATTTATTTTGCAAAATAGATTTTTATATTTATTCAAGTGTTTGATAAAATATAAAAAATACCATAACATTTCTTACATAAAAATCGAATAAAATTTAATATCCTAAAGAAGGTGATTGTTAAATTTTTAGTGAAGTAACCATAATATTATAGTAATATTTAGATTATATAAAATAATAATTTTCGAAAAGATTTCGAATTTTAAATATTTGTTTGGCGATAACCATGTGCTTAAAACTATTTATGACCACTATACTTTATCATTATCAATATTGGTGTCATTAAATACCTATTGCCAAAATTAAATTAGCCATCATGTTTAATTTTCTGTTATTTATCGAGTGTACGGCGATGTAGTTAAACAAATTGTGATTGTAGTAGTGTTCATTGTGAAATATTGTATAATATTATTCCTGTATGAAGTATAAGTTTTAATTTACATATTCAATTATGTCAAGACAATTCATTTTCTTAGTTGGTGTTATGAAAAATTAAATAACTGGTAGTTAGTTTCCATCAAAAAGAGGTATTTTGAGCGTTATTTTACAATATGTGTTTAGTTAAACATTACACGATAGCGATAGTTTTGTGTTTGATGAATGTCAAATTTTTTGGAGAAAAGCACGTATACCAATTCAAGATCAATCAAATTGCGTAACAAAAATTAAAAAACAATGACAAATGGAGAAAATTAGTTAAAAATAAAAATAGAAATACTGATACACAAAAAGAAATTATGAATACGACAATTTAAATGACTTATTTGACATTGCACGTAGTAATGCTTTAAATATTATAAAAATTCACGAAGATAAACTATTTTTAATAAAATAACGAGAAAAAAGACGTCATGGATGCATGATGGGTAAAGATTCAAAATTAACCGGTCTTGAATTTCGAAAATTGTTTTTAGAAAAACAGAAAGCTTTGCAGAAAGAAAAACATGAAATCGCATCGAAATCAACAAGTAGTTTATGTAATTATTTTATTTTATAATTATATTTTCAAAATTAATGTAAATTAATAATTTTAAATCATTACCTTCAAAAATAATGTGTCTAATAATTTTTTATACTACAGTTTGTATCTATGGACTGAAAACTTCACTGATGAAGATGAAATTATAAATCTTGAAAGTCCTGGCCCATCAACAATCAAGCGAGCAAGAAAGGAAATTATAAACCACCGTTTGTCGACGGCATTAGATAAATGCAAAGTGACCGAGATGCCGTTCATTTACTTACAGCTGCAGCTGAATCGTTTGATGTCAATACTAGTTAGTACATAATTAATAGATCTTTAATTAAAAGAGCTCGAGAAAAGTGTCGTGAACAATTATCTGAAGCTACAAAATCTAATTTTTTAAATGTAATTCTACAATATTGCATTGTGCATTGGGATTCAAAATTACTACCAGACTCAGAGCCCAACTTAGGAAATATGGACCGGGGCAATATAATCTTAGGGGCTTTTAATATTTGTTTAATGTAATTTAAAAATTACAATAAACATTAAAATAACATTATTGCATTAATGAACAAAAGTTTTATTTACAGACCAAAAATTAATTGTTAATACTCGTATTATATTTAAAAATAATTATTAAGTACCGGTAACAATGAAAAATATTAATTATTTATTAATGTTTACTAAATTACATAAATAAAAATTTAAGTCAATGGTTTTTTTCGAGATTTTAGTTCACTAAACTTCTAAATTAGATCTGAAAAATCCATCAAGATAACTATTATTTAGAACAAAATCATCTTTATTATTTGTATTAGCTTCTACTTCTACTTCGTTTACACTATTGGCAGTTTTAAAGAAATTTGTTAATTTAGGTAATTTGCTTACTGCATCTTCAGCCTCCTTCTTTAATTTTCGTTTTGCATAATCACTGAGATAAATCCTTTTTTGTCTGACATTTTCAAATTTCAATAGTTTTTATTATACACTAATAACTAGGGCTCAGAAGTCATTTCTCTTGTATGTTTTTTTCGCACCATTGGATTTATTGCTAAGTGAGCTAGAAATTCATTCCAAGACACTACGAAAAATATATCAAACGTTTATAGTGCATATTTTTGCATATTTAGTGATTTTTAGATTTTAGAGCATATTTTATAATTTTTGAAGATTCAGTATGAAAATTTGAAAAATAAAAAATAAAATACATTCATATTAAGAGAACTTTCGTGATATTCTTGTATCGTATTTTTCAAATTTTCATTCAACATTATAAACAATGTTTTCCCCTATTGATTAAATAATATATATGTATTTATAAATTATAACTACAACTAGCTTTGTCTAAAATAAAATATTATACAATTATCAAATAGGAACAGCTGCTATCGAAATACGATGACTCTCTATAAATATTTTTCTGGGAAAATAAGTCAATGATTATTGAATATTCTTTCAGGGAATTATTTTTTATTCAAGAAACATTTATAATGCTAATTTATTATTATTATTATTATTTTTAAATTATGATTAAAAATTAAAAATCAGAATTATTTTTATTACTTTGCTTTTTCTATATTTATAATTTTATAAAATTTTTATGCAAATGAACATTTTGTGTACAAAAATAAAATATAATTGCTTATTTTTAGAGCATATTTGTAGTTTTTTAAGCGCATAAGTGCATGCATATTTAGTACTTTTTAAGTGCATTAAGTTCCGAACCCTACTAATAACGAACAAAACTCACGAACTCTATTAAAAACCAATTTAAAATCACGAGTCACAACAGTCAACAGATTACTAACTAACGTACCGATTGTATTAACGATGTAAAACTAACCAACAAAATGTATGTCATAGAAAATACCTTAACGATTTGGTAGAGGTAAACAGTAGATTATATAGTGTATACCCGCGTTTAGATAAACTGAGCGTTAGCAAAAAACCGAGATATTTTTAAATAATTCGCAGCTTACGACTGTTGCGATTCGTGTTATCATACAAGTGTTTAAACTTGGCCTATAGGTATACACGTTGATGATTAGGTGACAGGATGGGTAAATATAAATGGTAAAGTGTTTTTGGCCAAATTTATCTCAAAATTGAATAGCTTTATTTTATCGATTAGATAATAATTTTAAATTCCATTACGAAACATGACTAATTTGTTTTGTAAATGTTAAATGAAAGAAATATCTTAAAATTTTACAATAACAATTAAATATTTAACTGTCAACAGAGGCCCGAGGTTTCAAATAATACCGGGGCCCGGGGCTGTAGCCCTCCTAGCCCCCTCTAAGTTGGGCTCTGACTAGACTTAACAAGAAGGGATACAGTACATCGTTTTTCTGTGATTATCACAGCTCTTAATGTTGAACAATTATTAGGAGTTTCACAATTATCATCTGGTAGTGGAAATGAAATATGTTCAGCTGTGTATAATACTTTAAACGATTGGTGTCTATTGGATCAAATTAAAGATTTTGTATTTGACATTATTGCATCAAATAGTGGTCGTCTAATTGGTGCATGAGTTCTTCTTGAACAAAAGTTAAACCGAAGTATTCTATTTTTTGCTTGTCGTCACCATATTTTTGAAATCATTTTACAAGCAGTTATTTTTATATCAAAACTATCTGTTATGTCTGAACCTGATAATCCATTGTTTAAATGATTAAAAAGTAACTAGGTGAATTTAGATTTATGTAATTTTCATACATGAATATTGCACCCAGAAGTATTTGAAAAATTAAAATATGTAGTTGAAGATGTTTTATTATTTTGTACAAAAAAAATTAAAGATTTTCCAATTATCTAAGAGATGATTATAAAGAATTTATGAAACTTGTCATGATATTTTTAGGAAAAACACCTCCACGAGGTATACATTTTCGACCATCTGGTGCTTACCGTTTAGCTCAATGAATGGAAAAAGGGATATATTGTTTTAAAAAGTTGTTATTCTATCACCAGTTAAAGTTCTCGATAATTGAAAAAAGAGGTTTACAAGAAATTTGTTGTTTCATTGTAAAATGTTATTTAGATGCATGGATATGTGCTCATGATCCAATAACAGCTTCACTTAATGATATAATTTTTTAAAAAAAAATAGTTGATTATACAAAACATAATAAAAAAATTGAAGAAGTAACATTAAAAAAATTTATCAACCATTTGTGGTACATAAATGATGAGTGTGTCGTATTTACTTTATTTGATAATCGGATTGATGATAATACAAAATCTAAAATGACAAAACAAATATTGGAAATAAATGAAGAAGAAATCAATGCTGATGAACAAGAAAAAGAGTCTCAAAAAAAAATTGTTTTACAATTTGATGACGTTCAACATTTTGTATGTAAAGATCTTCCATTTGAATTAATATTAAATAAATCGATACAGTTCTTTCAAGGATTTTGTATCTCTCCGGACTTTTTACAGAAGGATCCAAGTTTATGGAAAACAACCACCGAGTATAAAGAAGCAAAGAATATTATAAGTACATTAAAAGTTGTCAATGATAGTGCAGAAAGAAGTGTGAAATTAATGGAGGAGTTTAACGACAAATTTACGAAACAAGAGGAACAAAAACAATATATGTTACAGGTAATTTTTTAGTATTTTATGTTCGTGGAATAATTAAGAATTTATTAAAATGTATTATTTATAATTTTAGATTGTTCAAGATTATAGGAAGCAATACCCGGAATTTAGTCATGAAGTTTTAAAACAAACTTATAATAAATAATTAAAATACATTTGGATATAAAAAATATGTTGTATAATAAAATGGGATTATTAAAACACAATTTTATTATAACTGTTATAATATTAGAATAATTTACATAAATCCGGCTATTACAAATTACATTTTTTTCAGGAAATTAAATTTTATTCGATTTTTATGTAAGAAATGTTATGGTATTTTTTATATTTTATCAAACACTTGAATAAATATAAAAATCTATTTTGCAAAATAAATAAAATATTTCGTATTTTACTATTTTTCTTGGAAAATTACAGACTTACGACAAATTTTTCAAATATATATTTTATGAGCAACATTAAAATATATAATTAACCATCTATACATTTTTTCGCTAAGTACTATAGTTTTTAAGTTAAATTCACAAAACTACAAAACTACCCTCTATGACAAATTTTCAACCCTTTTGAGGCACGGGAAGAGGGTGAGTTATCGTGACCAAAATTAGTCTCAATTACTTACTGATTATAATGAACAAAATGTCGAGTACTTAGCCAAAGAATATTTAAAAAAAAATTCTTCTTCTATAACTAAGGACCACCCTAATGTATATATAATATATATATAAAAAAGTCATAAAGGATTTGCCTTACTGTTAACTCCCGAATTATTAAATGAATAATAAAAGTTTTAATGAAACTTGAGAATGAAGGAAAAAAATTTAAATTTCAGTTTTGTATAACAATATACCAACATGCCGTTGCGAATCGTTTTCATCGGAAGTAAATGATAAAAAAAAACACAAATTTAGTATATTGATTGTAGGAAAGTATGAAATCTCGTATCTATTGTTTTTTTTTTTTTTTAGTTCATCAGAACAAGTTAGTGAATACGTTAAGTTTATAGTAAGACGATGAAATACATCATTGCGTATACTTGACACGGTTGTGTCGCATGAATGCCGCGATCTCACCCGTTATACCCCTTTGCCTTGGTATCACCATTCGTTCGATTATCAATCGGGACGTCAGATTGATAAATCCAACAAGTATTTGGAATCGGCGATGAGCTCCGAAGTGCTCGCGGATCATCCGGACGGTACGACGGCGACGTTTGTCTGCCTTCTGCCGTCTCCATGGCCCTTTTATTTATTTTTTTGTTATTTAAAATTTTGTAAATTTCTAACTGTCATTTGAGATTTGGTTTTTTTTCTTTTTTTATTATTATAATAAATAGTGATTATTATAATACATACAGTATTTTTAAAAAAACTGAACAATTATATTATTATTATTACCATTATTAATTCGAATATGTTTCTGATTATTTTTATTAATATTAATATAATTAAATTAATATTTAATTGTGTGTGTGATGTGCATACTATACTTCAAAAATGTATTTATTTTGATTTTTTTTTAAGTAACCTATTTATGGCAAGTCACTTGCGCTGCGTTTTCTTTGATAAAATAATTTAATGAAAGAGAGGAAAAGAATCCTGTTTAAAACGCGTTTAGGTAAAACGAAAATTCAACTTTTATCGCAAATCTTTGACTAACGAAGGCACGTAATGCAGGAATAATAAAGGTTGATATCATTTGTGATAAGCAAATATGATTTTTTAAATTATATAGAAAGGAGAATAATATTTAAATTTGAAACGTGCATGGTTATTTCTTACAAAAAGTAAAACTTGTTATAAAATGTGTGTGCTGTCGAAAGTGACAGAAATGTGTCTTTTTTTTTTGACGCAGTTTTCGTATATAATATTACATTTAACTGTCCTTTTTTATTTAAACAATTAAGGTCGATTACTTTAGAGATATTCACTGTTTCGTTGATTTTGAAAACTAACGCAAGTTTCAGATTTTTATCTCCGAAGCGAAGCGAATAATGTACTGATTTTTAAACTGTCCTCAGTGAAAACAATTAATGATTTTTATTCTTTTTTGTCCATCGGAAAACGTTCAAGTAGTCAATACGCTCCAAATGTATTCTATGGCATCATCTTTTAGAGTCATAAATAGGACACTATTAGTATTTGAAAAGCATTCATTTTTCGATTTTCTCAGCAGTAGTGTTAAAATATTGACAAATAAAAAAAAAAAAAACGGAAGAACGTGTTTTATATCCCTCAAAGGAGTTTTGTAGCAAGTGTTTATATTTTTATTAGGTATTCGAATTCGTTTTAACAATACAAGTAAATTCATATGTTGTGAAATTTATATTGAATGCTAACTCTGAATACCATTTTGACTGGTGTACACTTGTAATAAATTGTACACGCGCAGACTGTTTAATTTTAACGCGCTATCGCTTGTACGCGCATCTCCTGCTATACTCGAGTTTCTTTTCAGCTCTTTTAACCCCCCCCCCCCCTCCCAAACCCTGTAAATCAAATATTTCTCGAAATTATAATTATTCGCATACCGAGAACTCAATAATATGGACACGCGTTGCTGAGCTCAATAATACTGTACAATAAATATGAGTATCATAATTATCATACGGTCGTTGCGCTTACGAGTATGTACCTGTGTTCAATTGTCCTCACGAACTTTTCGGTTATTAAATTTTTCTTCTTTAAATCAGACGACGCAGTCACGTACACGGAAAAAGCAACCGAATTGTTTCGACAACTTTTGTTGCGTGTGGAAAGGAAGGGTAGGAAAAAAAATCCAAAAACCAACAATATCCACCCTGCTGCTGTTTTATACATTAAATTAATTGCACATTCGTAGCGGGCGCGTACATAATATATGCGTTGTATGCATTAACACGCGGTACAAACAGTTAAAGACGAAAATCATATAATTTTATTGCTGCAATTATGTACATTCAATTGGGGATAGCAGTTTCGTATTCGCATTATACGCATCGGTTTTAACGTTGATGGCTACCGGACGAGGGTATATCGGAAAAACGAACAATACGCACGCATACACACATACACACACGTACGTACTCGTGCACACATACACACTCACAGTGTCCGAGGATTTTCAATCGAGTCCAATGTGTTATACGAAGCCAAATTACGTGTATACGTTGAACCGTGTGCGGTGTAAATTGCGAATACATCTGGTCGCGGAATACCAGATGACGAGGATAGTGCCCGAAGCGAACAATGACAGCAGTAATGTCAACCGTATTAGTTTTGCTCGGCGGAACAATTAAAAATAACGAAAAATATCATTGCCATTGTATTCCTAGAATGCCGATCTTTGATAAAAAAGAAAAAAGTAAATAAAACAAGTAGACACTTTGAGCCATTTCAACTTTTGGCCATATAGATAGGTCCTCCTAGCCTTCTCCTCACTTCACTTGATTCAGCCCTGACACAAAAGTAATACAATTAATGCCCTCATACAAAAGTAATATATAACGTACTCGTACTTTTTCCTGCTCGGTTTGCATGCTGCGCAGTATTAAAATTCTCAATGTATAGTGCCCGTGCTTCGCGGTCGTTTCTTCGACCCATTGCCAACGACGCACCCAATTTCGGAGAGCTGCAACCACCTGCGAAATTTTAGGGATATCTAAATTGTATACCTCAATAATATGAATCTATAGTCACCATACGTTGTTCTCGTCACAAAACTCGATTTATTGGGTAATGTTTCAAATCGAAACGTATTAAACATAGTTTTTCTTCTTTTTACGCTTAATAATTTATTTATTTGATTTTATATCTTTATAGTGTTTTGAAATTATTAGAAAACGAGTGAAGATAATATCAAACTTCAAAAACCTATCACGTTTAATTGAATATTTTCTTTAAAATAAAAAAATATTAAAAACCATGAGATGGGAATGTTCAGAATATGTACGCTCTATAAAATGGACAACCTTAATTTTTCAAAACAATTCGAACATTGAAACGAAAAGTTGTGTTTTTATTATATCCTTACACTTAATTGAAATAAAGTTGTGAATGTTCGTATATTTTTTAGTCGATAAAACCTAGATGTGCATTTATTTTTATCTAGTTATCATGCACAGTGACAAAGTTGAAGAAAAAAAAATAAAAGCGTTTGCAATAGTGCTCTTGATACCCGGATACCCGGTTACCCGGGTTTTACGGGTATTACCCGATTTACATTTCGGGTACCCGTTATGGTTTGTATACTTATTACTAGAGCTGGGATTTGTATGTAAATACATATTTTTTCTAAAACATGATAAATTTCTTTATCTTTTTTTTCGTTACACTGATAAATAACTGCTATAAATAGATATTATTTTATACAACTTTACAACAATTTACTGTTTACTTTAACATTACAGTAAATTAGTAGCTATATGTATATAAAAATTGCATAGTTAAAAAAACTTTTCAAACACCTATCAATATAATTATTCAATTATTATAATTTTTGTATAGTTGTATATTTCAAGTTCAAAGTGTAACAATGAAACTATGAATATATTACTTGTCATCAATAATATCACAATTTTCTTTTTTCTTTTTGGTCCTAGGGGTGGGTTTGAACGCCTCCTCCCCCCGTATGTACACCAATGACTGTGATTACTTATTATTATCTGCGTAGCTATACACATAAAAGGTAACGAATACGGCCACTATATCCGTTATCTGAAGATATAGGCTTTATAATAGCTTTTAACATGTTATTCAACATTATACTTGAACAACTAATTATTGAAATATAATATCACTAATAACACTCACATAAAATACTAAAGATTTATTTTTAAAAAGTAATTTTGTTAATTTAAAAGAGGAAATAATTTAATAGACTTGGCTAAATTGTTTACGTATATCAAAAACCATCGGGTACCCGAACATTTTGGGTAATGGGTACCCACTACCCGAAAATGTTGACTACCCACAAAATCGGGTATTACCAGGATAAACGGGTACCCGGGTATTGCTCACATTAAATCAAATCACTAGCTTGCACCCCTCGTTTTTATGTCACAGTTACCGACTATGATAGCGTTTCCATTAAAATTTTCTGAGTGGATTTTCAGCACATGTAATTTCGTCGTAGAAGAGCAGCTGAAACAGTGAATTTAATTTT